CTATCTGTCTGTCTGTCTGTGTCTGTCTATCTATATGTGTGTGTCTGTCTGTCTGTCCATCTATCTGTCTGTCTGTGTGTCTGTCTGTCTGTCCATCTATCTATCTATCTGTCTGTCTGTCTGTGTCTATCCGTCTATCCATCTACCTGTCTATCTATCTGTGTCTATCTGTGTGTGTGTGTGTCTGTCTATCTATCTATCTACCTGTCTATCTATCATGTGTGTTTTACATTTGTAATTGCTTGAATAAGAAATAAATATTTGTACAAAAACACACACACACACACGCGTAATAAAAATAATTATACATATATATATATATATTTCAATCAAAACTTTTCACATAATGAAGTGAACTATGAAACAACAAATATACTGTTGTAAATGAATACAAAAAGTCCTGGTTGTCAGAGTTTGTGGAACAGGTTCCTAGTGAATTAAAGAGAAAAATGAAGTGAGTTCTGAGAAAAGCTCCAGCATCGTTTGCTTGCAGATGTCTCTTGGATTGATGTTTTGCATGCAACTAAAGAGTCCGAATCGTTTTTGGGGCCACTGTAAATGTTGCTTTTTAAAAAAAAAATTTTTTTTTAAGAAAGTAGCTACAGCTTATCATGCATCTGAAAAACAATAGACGGATAACAGAGCGGAGAAATGTTTGGTTATGCAAATGCTGCATGCAACAGAACGACGAGCAAATAACAGCGTCACTCTGACACAAAACAAACCCACTGTAACTGTAACTCAGTACAGGAACACAGATCAGTATCTGCAGCTCTGTTCAGAATAACAAACACAGAGCGATGCATAGAGACAGTTACACTTACACCTGCATTAAAACCAAAAGAAAAGAAAAATCCCTCTCACCTGGCCGGAGGGCATAAAGACCTTTCACAACACTCGCCATAGTTGATGGTTTGACTTGAAACGGCATGGAATGAGCGTTTTTAAGAAGAGCTGAGGAAAAAAAATAACACTTTACTTAATATATGAAGAGTGCATTTGCAAAAACGGCACTTTAAAAAAAAAGAGCTGATAGCAGTGCATTATTCTCCACATATAGCGCGATCTGAACCCTAAACACTTTTTGTCAAAAAAGCCGGTTTTGTCCACTTTCAAGGCATCACGAGTTCACGTTTCACGTATTTGTTTAAGTTATTATTACTTAATCAAAACAACCCAACTGCAGTTTGATTGATATTACTTGGAATGCGCAATAAAAAAAAAAACATGATTTCTGAAAATAAAAATAAAAATGGACTTATCCGTTTTTGCAAATTAACTCTTCATATTTACAAAACGCATTGCAAAGTCAGAAGACTGTGTTGATCTGCACTCACGCAGTAGTGTGCTGACGTGTTTCTCTGCGACGTGATCGGAGAAGAGCTTCATGAGATCGTCACGCAGATCGCGGTTCAGCTTCGTCTCAATGTAGAACTTGTTCTTTAACAAAATCAGGTTCAAATGCAGATAAATGAATACAGATCTCACAAAACATGGAAAGTGTCATGATAACAATTATATTCAAAAACACAGAGTATTGGCATTTTTTTTTCATTTGTGTCAGAACAAGGTACATTGAAAGTATTCAGTGACAGAGGCACTTTGAAGGCATTCATTATTGAGTATTAGCATTGTACCATATAGATGAAGACGGGAACGATGCAGTGCAGAGAGGCTGTGTACCGCGTCAGAGCCACGTTAAAGTTTTCTATTAAATCTTCTGGAGGGCTGGCCTTCAGAAGAGATGAGACAACAGCATTTTATTCATTTATTGTTAAAATAAAAATTACAAAATTATAAAAACAATAATAGAAAATAAATGCATGAATAAAAAAGTATTTTATTGACATTTCGAATGACAAATTATATTTAATTTTGGCATTTATTTCTTAGCTTTTTTCAAGAAGAGAACAATACAAAATTAATAAAAATATATAAAATAAAAAATAAATAATAATACAATAGAAAGTTATTAAAAAGCCATTTTTATGAACAGATTTTAATAACAAATTTAGGCATCACTGCTTCCTTTTTCTAAAAAAAAAAAACTAATAGAAATGATAAAAACATCAATAACAAAATATGAACAAAAAAGAAAGATATTTTATGACAAATTATATTTAATTTAGGCATTCATTATTTTGATAATAACAGAATTATAAAAATTTATAAAAACATAGTATAATAGGAAAATAATAAAATTAATAAAAAGTTAATAAAAATGTGTAAACACACATTAGAGGGAAAAGTTATATGCATTTCAGACATAAAAAGAAATCAAGCCTTGGGGAAAAAAAAGAAAATAGTTTTTTGGTAAAAAAAAAAACATGTGAACAAAGATGACTTTATTAACATTTTAAATAAATTCTAAAAGTCTTATTTTGTCATGTATATCAACGTATAAATCACAAGCATCACATGACTGTGAAAGAACGATTTGATCGTGGTGGATTTAAAATCTCACTTTATTTACCCACAACAGCAGCACTACAAACAGGTTTAAAGCGTCTATGCACTGACCTGTAGCTCAGAAGACACTTGCTCTAGATGAGACGTGATCTTCCACATCAGGTCACTGTAGAGCAGCTCGGAGTGCTGCTGGCACACACACTTATAAACGTGACTGGAAGAAGAACACAGAAGGGCGTATTAAAACACAGATGCGCAGCATGCTCTGACTCGTTCAGGAGTGAAGCAGCACTAACCTGTAGATCTGTTCGTATGAGATGGAGATGTGCTCCATCGGGCTTTGAGTGAGCAGATGCTCAATGGCTCGCTCTAGTTTTGGCCAGTAAACCGTCCTGTATTCTTCTGCTGTCATTGTGTTCAAGACTAGACACGTCAAACAAACAGAAGCAACACACGTGACATTTGCTGCTGAAAAACTACTCTCTATCGCTTACACAAACAGTATTTTGGCACTGAGACAGACAGACAGTATTGTGACACTGAAGACTGGAGTAATGATGCTGAAAATACAGCTTTGATCACAGAAATAAATTCTATTTTAAAGTATAATAAAATAGAAAACTGCCGTGTTAAATTGTAATACTATTTCACAATATTACTGTTTTTTCTCTATTTTTGATCGAATAAATGCAGCCTTGATGAGCAAAAGATACTTCTTTAAAAAAACATAAAACATCTTGCTGATCCCAAACTTTTGAACGGCAGTGTAAATAAATAAATATAAATATATTATAAACAACATGCATAATTTAAATTATTTATTATTTTGCTTTAGAAAAAACAATATAAAATCAATCAAATTAATAAATTAATGAAAAGTAATTTTTATGAACACATTTGATTAAATTCCATTTAATTTAGGCATTGTTTGTTAAATAAATTAATAGTATAATACGAAAAATGAATAAAAAAAGAAAATAATACAATTATTTAAAACAAAAAAATCTATTTTTAAGAACACATCTGAATAAATTACATTTAATTTAGATATTTATTATTTTGCTACTTTTTTAAATTAAAAAACTATACAAATAAATGTATAACATATTATACTATGTAAAATAATATGTTTAATATAAATAATTATACATACAGAAAGAGAGACAGCATGCGCAAGAGGGCTTTTAAATAGCTTTAAAGGATGTTTATCATGGTACACAAGTTCCAGTACCATCCAAGTACCACGGTGTTACCATCTGACTCATCACTGTGGTATTCTGTACATTTACATTACATTTAGACATTTAGCAGATGCTTTTATCCAAAGCGACTTTCAAATGAGGACAACAGAAGCAATCAAAATCAACAAAAGAGCAATAATATGCAAGTGCTATAAAAAGTCTCAGTTAGCTTAACACAGTACATGTAGCAAGGTTTTTTAAAATTATATAATAAATAAAAAGAAAACAGATAGAATAGAAAAAGGATAGAGCAAGCTAGTGTTAAAGGCCTTTTTTGTTAATTGCATAATAAATAAAAAGAAAACAAATAGATAGAATACAAAAAGAATAGAGAAGCTAGTGTTCGTTTTTTTTTTAAAGAAAACAAGCAGTTAGTAAAGGAATTGAGTGCAAGTCTAAAAGGGGCAAGTTTTTTTTTAAAGAATGGAATTAGAATAGAGAGTGCTAGAGTTAGAGGGTCAAGTCAACAAAGTGCAGACTGATAAACAGAGGAGTGTTGGTGTAACTTACGGAACTTGGAGGTGGAGTCGAGCAGCAGCGCAGAGGTGGACTCGCAGGTGTCACTGCTGGAGTCTGAGTCCACACACACCTGCGCAGGTGAACACACACTCACAGCCTCCGCGCGACAGTTATGATTATCATCCTCGACCCCCTGCATCTCCTCCATGCCGCCGCCGCACTGAGAGAGCTTTAGCACTCCATCTCAGCTCAAACCCGCTTCAGCTCAGCGATGACCGACGCATGTTTACCGCTTCAGCTTCACTCTGTTTATTTTGTCGTCAATCCGAAGCGAGATCCGACGCGGACTTCCGTTTAATGGCGGACGTGTCAAAACAACAGCCCGCATGGCAAAATAAGAGTCCGTCGTCGGCATAAATATAGAATATTTAATTTTATAAATTAATATTTATCAATCAGTATTTATTTCTTGGCTTGCTATCCCTCAAACATTATTTGTACATTACAGTTAGGCATTTAGCAGATACTTTTAACCAAAGCGACTTACAAATGTGACCCTGGATCACAAAACCAGTCATAAGGGTCAATTTATAACTTAATTTAATTGAATAAATCAGCTTTCCATTAATGTATGGTTTGTTAGGATAGGACAATATTTGGCCGAGATACAACTATTTGAAAATCTGGAATCTGAGGGTGCAAAAAACAAACAATTTTTTTTTTAATTTGTCCAAATTTAGTTCTTAGCAATGCATAATCTTGTCTATTCTACTGCAATTTTAAGCAATTAATTAAATACTCTATATCTTAATGGATTTGTTATAACTATATAAATAACAGGCTAAATAAAATGATATATTATGTTGTTTTAAAAAACAATACAATATTAATAATTTTATTTAATAAAATATAAATATGACCAATTATTAAGAAAAAATGAACAAGTTAATAAGAAGTCATTTTTATAAACACAAAAATGCATTAAATTCTATTTAATTTAGGCATCATTCATGTATTTTTATTAATAAAAATGTTCTGTAAGTCTTAATGGATTTCTTATTGACTTTTTTTAAACAACACACACTAGATCTATTACTTAACTTACCTACAACAATGCGAATACATATTAAAAACTATATTTATATATTTTAAATAAGGCTGCAAAGTCAGTTATTTAACCAAGGATTATTTACTTCGTAACAACACTACATTTTTGCTAGTTGCCTGCAGTCCAGGTTCATCAAGATGCTCTTTAAAGACTTTATCATCTATTTATCTTTAATAAACGGCATAACCTCATAATTCAAACGCGCGGTAAATGTAGAATACAGTATATTTTTAAAAATACAACTGTATGAAATAGTTTAGAAAAATGCAACTATGGTCAGGCCTCCACGACCCTCTGCTTAAACACAGCTTCAACTGACCATTCTGCAAACTCTTGAGTATTTTATTACCGAGCAAAATACTTCTCTACCATTCTTAGTTACTAACTTGCATGCATCATGTACAGCGTTTAGCTCAAGGATGAGTGATAAGAGTCAAAGATGCTACATTTGTGAAGTCTGTATTTCGGGACAAAAGTATTCTTTTGCAGCATCGAAAATAAATTCGTATTTTGAACAGAGATTAAGAACAAACAACCAAAACGGCATCAACTGCACGAGGGACTCACGAGGTCGTGTTGATATTATAACTTAACAGTGTTATAAAGATTTTAATGCACGGTCAACGAGAGCTGGAAAAGACGCTGCATTTATAAAACCAACCAACATCAACAGGCATATTAATCAAAAACAGATTCAGAAGTGCTTGAGGACAGGAATCACAAGAGTGTGAATGCATGTAAATAATGTCTTTCTATAGGTATAAAAAACGAATGGAAAACATGATGACTATCAGACTTTACTGGCTATAAAAGACTGCCAAATGTCTGAAAATGCCACAGTTTGGTGCACATGCGAAACACATTGACCAGATCCGACAAGGAACTTGTGAAAAACATGAAAACGATGCGGAAAAAGTGATCTTTGGTTTGAAAATCATTCCCTTTGTTCAATGCATGTTCAATTCTCAGGCAGAAACAACATTCAGGCAGAATTAACCGTATATTTTACATCTAAAAATGCAAAAATATAAAAAGACTGGCGGTGAAATAAAAGAAAGAAGTTGCATGCATTAGAAGACATAACAGGGCGTTTAGGAGGGAGGAGATACAAAAACATATCAAACAGACTTGAGCACATGAGACGCAGCGAGTGCTAGTGAGTTATTGTGTGGTCGGTGGGTCTGTTTCTGCGGTGCAGTCCGTGTGAAGGCGTTTGTGTTCGTGCTCCTGTACTGTCTCTGTGTTTTCTTCCTCCACGTCGCTGTCTTCATTTCCCACAGCGTCCGCGCTGCAGCGAGAGCCGTCGCTGTCACTGCCGCAGGAACTGGACGACTCGTCCTCTGAGCTCGAGTAGACCTCGGCGCCGTGGAAAATGTAGCGGTTCGGTGCTCGAAATAAATACTGCGAGGCTGCAAAACAGAAAAACAACAAATGACATTGTGTGTGCAGCGAGTGTTCGAGAACTTTGGTTTTAAGCATCTTTTATATGAACAGTGACTCGCGTCAAACGACCTAATGTGATTTTAACACGTAACATTGAACATTTTTTGAACACGTTATACTTAATCAGTCACAAATATAATAAAAATAACATCATAATCTAAATATAATAAATATCATTTATCTATTTATAAACAAAACATAATATATATGAATTAATATAATTATAATATACAATGTGTATATAAAAACAAACACATGCATGTATATAGTTAAGAAAAATATGTTACGTTTATATGTTCAATATATTTATATACAATATAAAATATAAGAATATAAATGTAAATATTTTTAAAATACATACTGTATGTGTGTGTATTTATATATACACATAATAAATATATACAGTAAACATACATATATTATGTAAACAAACTTTTATTTTGGATGCGATTAATCATTTATATATATATATATACACACACACATAATAAAAACTATATTAATATAATATAAATTACATAATTATACATACAAAAAACATTTATATAAAAAAACCATGATACATACACACACACACACACACACACACACACATATATATATATATATAATAAAAATAATGTCTATATTTAATAAAAAATATATTGTATAATATAAATATAAATATAATAAATAAATATAGTACATAAATTATGCTATTTAATTTTAATTAAAGATTAATTTGATAATTTCTGTGTAATTTGCAATAAAATGCATTAATAAATCATTCTTGATAACAGCAGGAACACCTCAAAAATGTGTTTACAAATAAAAAAAAAAGATTTGACCTCCGAGTCGTTTGCTGATTGGACTCTGACAGATTGGGCTTCTCCAGCACCGTCTCCGCACTTCAACACGGTGACGATCTGCTGGTTCTTCCTCCTTCACGTCATCAGTAGAGTCCAGTGCTTCTGTAGCTGTCTTCGGAGAATGCTCTTTTGGGTTGGAGTCTAACCGGTCTGTGTTAGTTTCCGCTAACGGCTCTGGAGGAGGGCTTGTTCTTCTGGCTGCTGTCTGCGGTTCCTCCTTCTCGGGAGACAGTGAAGTGTCCTCTGACGCTCGTGTGGAGGGGCTCCGAGCGGACGGTTTCTCCGTGATCTCGCTGAGACGGGACGAGCTGAAGCACAGCTGCTCGAAGTCGCCTCCCAGACGATGGCAGAGTTCGTTCACGATGACGTCACAGTCTCCGAGCAGCTCCACGTCGAAGTGCAGGTGCGGCAGCGGCTCGCGGTTGATCAGGACTTGAGGCACGTCGTGAGGTACGGAGCCTTCAGGGAGACACGCATTCACAAAACAAATATGTGAGCCTGGAGCACAAAAGCAGTGTTAAGTCGCTGGGGGATATTTGTAGCAATAGACAACAATACATTGTATGGCTCACAATTATAGATTTTTCTTTTATGCCAAAAATCATTAGGATATTAAGTAAAGATCATGTTCCATGAAGATATTCTGTAAATGTCCTACCGTAAATATATCAAAACTTAATGTTTGATTAGTAATATGCATTGCTAAAAACTTCATTTGGACAACTTTAAAGATGATTTTCTCAATATTTAGATTTTTTTGCACGCTCAGATTCCAGATTTTCAAATAGTTGCATCTCGGCCAAATATTGTCCTATCCTAACAAACCATACATCAATGGAAAGATTATTTATATTTTATTTATTTGATGTATAAATCTTGTACAAATTGACTGGTTTTGTGGTCCTGGGTCACATGTGTTTTCCATACTAGGGTTCATGAGTTGATGAAAAGAAATTTATTAAATCATAATTTTTTTTAACTTTTAAATAAATACATTTAATAAAAATACAACACTTACCAAAAAAAAAAAGATTTAAGAATATTATTAAAAGTATATTTAATGAAATTACATAATGTGGGCAAAGAGTTTATGAAAACCCTAAACTTTACACAAATAAATATCGGATTGCTTTTGGTTTTAAGCATCTTTTACATGACATTTTTTTTCTTTAAATAAATAATACAAATAATAAAAAAATAACATTTACATTTTTATAAATTAAATCATATTTATTTTCAAATTTTATTTTAATACATTATATTTATTTTAAATAAATTACACACAAAAAAAAATACTAATTCAATATTTAATCATATTAAAGTGTATATTGTATAATATATTCAAAGTATATCGTTTAATAATATTTAAAAGCATTACCGAAATTACAGCATTTATGCAATCTTAAAACAAAATTTAACAATTACGTAAAAAAAGATTTAAGAATATTTAAAAATAATATATTAAATATATTTAATAAAAATAAAAAAATGGTAAAGAATTACCTTGTTTACCTGCATGTGACAATTAATCAACATGAGAGAACGGTGAACATGCAAATGTGTTGTTAAATAATTGAAATAATAACTCATAAAAAATATTTTAGGTCAAAGGGGTTTAGCTGACAAAAATGCTTGGGAATCACTGATGATCCCATCTTTAGTATCCATTAAACTGCTGATTAACCTTCAAAAACTATATTCTTCATCTGAAAACACTTAAATCTCATTTGTGCGAGTGCATATTCGAACCTAGAGCGTAAAGAGAGTGTCTCAACCTGATGCATCATATCTGAATATACTCAAAATATACAATCCTAACCGAAAGGTTCTGAGCGATCATGATATGATCAAGTGCAACAGCTTTATTTTTTACACCCAAATGACTGCAGACCACAGGAAAGAAACAAGAGGTGGAACGTACTGGGTATGAGAGCCACTGGCCGAACTTTCAGCGAGGAGCCGATGACGATGAGAAGATCCACCTCATCTTTATCCTGCTTCATGGCTCGGTGGAAAAGTTCTGGAAGGTTCTCGCCAAAGAAGACGATGTCTGGTTTCATGATGGCGTACGGGACATCTGACGGACACCTCGGACAGTGAGGAACAACCTGCAGCAGAACAACAACGGTTTCACGAGCCGCAACGCAATTGCAAGCACATCTTAAAGGAATAGTTCACCCAATAATGAAATTTTCAGCAAATTTTACTTTAGATTAGGATGCGTTTGTCTCTTCATCAGATTTTGGTGAAATGTAGCATTGCATCAGTGTCTCAGCAATGGATGCTCTGCAGTGAATGGGTGCCGTCAGAATGAGAGTCCAAACAGCTGATAATAACTTTAAACTAGTGCTGGGCGGTATACCGGTGTTCATTTTTGTTATGATATGAATTTTTAAAATACCGCAATACTGGTGTATTTGTTACTCAGACGCAGGCAGTGCGCTGCACGAGACAAAAAATCAAAACCACCGCATAGCCGCTCTTTAGTGTAGATGTATGCTGATTTTATCAGACGATGCTGTGATTATAAATGAGAGTGAGTTAACATGTATTAAAAGGGGTTGTGTTTAGTCACTATTTAGTGTGGTATTTTTTGACAATATTCACTCATCATGACAGTAAAATAGGGCTTTCTTAGTCAATATACTGCAGTATTTCCTCTCAATCAGTATATTATATAATATGGTTAACACCCGGTCATGCATGAAAAAAAAATACCCTCATATACCGTGAAACCGATATAATTTTGAAAAATACCGTGATATAAATTTTTGGTCATACCGCCCAGCAATACATTAAACCATTGCTTCCAGCTAAAATATGAGTTTATAATTTCCAGTGAAAAAGTCTAAGCTATTCTGGACTGTTTTAAGTGCTTAATGTTGATCTCTGCTTAATGCAGATTTCTCTCCTGATTCAGACCAGACCATTTTTCACTGGAGGAAGCATTATTATGGACTCATATTTTAACCTGAAGCAACGGTTTGAAGTTAAAAACGTCTTAATGCTGGATTAGTTTCAGCTTTTGTCTTCTCCAGATGTTAACTGATGGACTGGAGTGCTGTGGATTATTGTGATGTTTTTATCAGCTGTTTGGACTCTCATTCTGACGGCACCCATTCACTGCAGAGCATCCGTTGCGGAGACACTGAAGCAATGCTACATTTCTACAAATCTGATGAAGAGACAAACTCACCTACATCTTGGATGATCTGAAGGTGATCACATTTTCAGCAAAGTTTCATTTTTGGGTGAACTGTTCCTTTAAATTTTCATACTCAAGCATACCTGGTTGAATATATCCTCCCTTATGGCTTCACAGTCAACCTTATGTTTACAGACAAGACAGGAAGCAGTCGCAAAGGAACCTAAAATAATTAGTAAAAGACAGAGGATAATAAAAGAGTCTAGATACTGACAGAATAATGAACATCTAGGTTTAAATGAGGAATCAGGGGCAGATATACCATGACACTGAATGATCTTCTGGATTCCAGCCGCTTGCTCCAGTGTGTCGATATTCTGAGTGTAGTTCCTCAGTAACCTTCCCTTCTTATCCAGCATTGATATGAACCTGTGACATGGAGACGGCTGGAACTGTCCTGGGTAGATTTCCTACAGTATAAGCAAACAGAGAATATTGTTATTTATGCAATTGTTAATACATAAATGTATGCAAATGCATAAATGTAAATGCAAACCTTTATGACAAAACAACTGCTGAATAGGGTAAATATTTTAACTATGATTAATCACAGTGCATTAAGACAATTGTTTTCTACTACAGGTTTTCTGAAATGTTACGTTTTGATACGCAAACAGTGCATTATATATAATTAAATATCCAATAATTTGCATACATTTAACAGAACATTCAAGTTCAAAATTCTTGTTTGATTTTGTTGACATATGTGACCCCGGAGCACAAAACCAGTCATAAGGGTCAATTTTTCGAAATTGAGACTTATACATCATCTGAAAGCTGAATAAATAAGCTGTCCATTGATGTATGGTTTGTTAGGAGAGGACAATATTTGGCCGAGATACAACTATTTGAAAATCTGGAATCTGAGGGTGCAAAAAAAAAAAATCTAAATATTGAGAAAATCATCTTTAAAGTTGTCCAAATTACGTTTTTAGCAATGCATATTACTAATCAAAAATTAAGTTTTGATATATTTACGGTAGGAAATTTATAAAATATCTTCATGAAACATGATCTTTACTTAATATTCTAATGATTTTTGGCATAAAAGAGAAATGTATAATTGTGACCCATACAATGTATTGTTGGCTATTGCTACAAATATACCCCAGCGACTTAACACTGCTTTTGTGCTTCAGGGTCACATAATAGAGTTAAAATTGTGTTTTGGATTTTTTTCTTCCACTATGGAAGCAAAATAGACCAAATTAACCGATGCATTAAAAACTATGGGTTCACCTGTAGTGTCTTGCGTTATTTAAAAACATATCATTACAGTGATTGTTTTCCATTAATGGTTGAAATGCAAATGAGAAGGCAGTGTATCGAACCTTGGCAAATTTGAAAAAAGGCCTTGGATCTCTTCTAAAGTAGTCTATGTCAAACATGGCTTGAGGATCAGGAAGGTCAGGAAAGTCCACAGCGAGTCGAGCGTATATGCCATCTCTAGACCGAAAGTCAGGAATGCCACAAGAAACAGACACCTGTGGAGGAACAAGAGCAACCAATCAATATTTGAGAGACTGGACACATACTCCGAGTGCGTCTGAAAGCACAAATCATAAACGCACCCCGGCGCCAGTGAGCACAAGTATCTTCTTCCTCTCGTTCAGGAGCCGCACGACGTCCTCTAATGTGTTGATGTCTTTGCGTTTCTTTCTTTTGGGCGGCTCTGAGATGTTGATGATGATCTGCCACAGCGTCATGTCGTCGAGATCCGCCGGGAGGTCCGTTTCGGGAAGCAGGTCTTTCAAAATGGCCCTCGGGTCGGTTCCTCTCATGATGTGCTGCTGAATGAACCGATACGAGCCTAAAAGAAAACCAAGCTTTCATTTAATTCACAAAACACTAAATCTGCACAACATACAGTATATTGTGAATTGAGCACTACAGACATGACTTAAAGGGATAGTTCACCCCAAAATGAAAATGTGATGTTTATCTGCTTACCCCCAGGGCATCCAAGATGTAGGTGACTTTGTTTCTTCAGTAGAACACAAACTGAGATTTTTAAGTCCAGCCGTTGCAGTCTATCAGTCGTATAATGCATGGCAATGGTAACAAAATCTATGAGAGTAAAAAAA